GGCGATAAAATAATAGAAATAAGGGGAGGGAAAAAGAAAGAGTAGCAAAACGAACAGCAACAACAACTCCGATTATGTCATGCCAACAAGCCCACCATAATATGTTTAACAGAAACCTGGCTAAGCCCGTCACTTTTATTCAGTGTTCCAGGCTACACATGCTTCCGTAAAGACAGATCTACACATAAGAACCTGAGATCAAACCTACGTGGCTATGGTGGCGTGGCCATTCTCATACGTGATGGGACATTTCCACATTGCACCCGTCGCCATGACCTTGATTCTCCCCAAAGCGAGGCCTTATGGATTGAGCATGGTGCACCGGCAGGTCTCCGGGCCAATCCGCTACTCATTTGCTGTCATTACCGCCCCCCTTCATAATCCCTTCTTGATATCACCTCCTTTTGCGACATACTTACCGACACGCTGTGTTCCTTGGACCTCTCTTTATTTGATGTTTTTCTTACCGGTGACTACAATGCCCACAATTCTGACTGGTGGAGTGGTGACACCACATCCGTGCTGGTACGGAGCTATCACACGTGTTCTCTAGCTTTGGCCTCCAGCAACTTGTCAATTTCCCCACCCGTGTCGCTCCGAATGGAAGACTGTCCTGTCTAGACTTGCTTGCTACGAACCGCCCCCTCTCTGTACGCTCTGTTGACGATGCTGCCCCACTTGCTGCATCGGATCATTTTCAAGTCATTACAACGCTAGCCTACAACATTGCCACTGCTAACACCTCCTCCAACATTACTGCTCTCAGACTCCTACCTCTCCGCGACATGCCTTCCGCAAGGTTACACCCTCCACTTGGTCAATCATCAACTCTGCACTTTTTGCCTGTGACTGGCATCTTTTATTCACCTCCACTACTGTTGATGAAGCTGTGGAGAAGTTTACCACAGTTCTTGATGACGTGCTCTCCTTCTATGTGCCACAATACGGAGCAAGACCCGCTACACCCAAACATGGCAGCGGCACCACCCTCGTCAGTCCAGCCGTAACCCCAAGATCCCTTGGTTCGACAAAGATCTCCAAGGTGCAATTAAACTCAAATACGACTACTACAGCTTAAGTAAGAAGTACTCCACCTATGTAAAAAGGCGACGCGGAGACAATAATCTTAATAATGCAATGAATATAACTAAATACGCACTCATATCACAACCATGGGGACGAATAATGTATTCCAGAACGTTTTCTTGTCACAATTATCAATGGAATTCGTGACTAAAGAGAATGATGAAACTACAATAGGATTTATACACTTGGAGTGAAACAGCGAGGATACATTGTTCCTAGGTTTGTGCTATTTTTCTTACTATGCTTGTATCCTCGCTGTTTCACTCCAAGTGTATAAATCCTATTGTAGTTTCATCATTCTCTTTAGTCACGAATTCCATTGATAATTGTGACAAGAAAACGTTCTGGAATACATTATTCGTCCCCATGGTTGTGATATGAGTGCGCATTTAGTTATATTCATTGCATTACTCCACCTATGCTAATATTTCTTTATACAAAAAAAAAACAGCGCAATCTGGTGAAGTCATTGTCACGTTCTAAGTATCGACCATATTTACGTTCGCTCACTACCACCCTATCTCACCCCTCTTCCAGGCCTAACCTGTATACCTTTGTTCGCACTCAAAGGACAACTAGTACACGTCAAGACATACCTCCGTTATTAGCTTCCAATGGTTCGATGGTGACTGACCCCAAGTCTGTAGCTAATACTCTCAATACGCAATTCACATCAGCTGGTATTCCAGACGACCATTCCTCTCCAATACCACCTCTGCAACGTTCTGCGACTGTGTCTTCTGATCTGCGCTCTATACATACCACCACATCATCTGTTCGCAGCTACCTAAAAAGACTAAAAAGCAACAAAAGCCCTGGTCCTGATGCCCTACCAAATGAAGTTCTCAAAGTTCTGGCTCCATCTCTGGCGTACCCACTGTGCCTTATATTCAACCTTTCCTACTTCTCCGGCATATTTCCTGATCGTTGGAAGATCACTAAAGTCACGCCCATCTACAAGTGTAAAGGCTCCCGATCACAAGCCTCAAACTATCGTCCAATGTCTCTTCTCTGCTCCCTTTCAAAAGTATGTGAAAAGGTATTTTACGACCAGTTGTATTGCCACATTTCACCATGCCTTAGTCCTTCCCAATCTGGCTTTCGGCGCAACGACTCAACCTCTGACCAACTAGATCGTCTAGTACAAGAGGTTGCCACCCTTCGTGATGCTCGACACCATATTGCTCTCTGTTTCTTTGACTTGGCAAAGGCCTTTGATACTGTCTGGCATCGTGGTCTCCTTGCCAAGCTACATATTGTCTTTGGTGTGTCTGGCCCTGCTCTGTCCTGGCTGGAGTCCTATCTGAGTAGCCGATCACAGTTTGTTTCTGCCCTCTCCATCAACTCTGATCCTCTACCAGTGTCTTCTGGAGTTCCCCAAGGCTCCATACTTGGACCTCTTTTGTTCGTAGCATACGTAAATGATTTACCCTCTATAGACCCAGGTGTCTCGTTATTTGCTGATGATACAACCCTACTGTCAGCATCCTCGTCCTCAGCGGCTCTTGTACCTCGAGTGTCGGCTCAGATATGCAGTGTCCTACGCTGGATGCAAACATGGCGACTTAGACCCAACCTGACTAAAACCGAAATAATGTTCCTTCCCCCAATCTCATCCATGTCACTTTTACACCATCCTTATTTCCCAGAACCCATAAAGGTTGTTTCCAACCATAAACACCTGGGAATAATGCTTGATGATCGTCTCTCTTGGTCTTTCCATAGTGATGCTCTTTGCAGCCGTTCAAGCTCTGCCCTAGGTGTTATACGTCCCCATCGGCATTTCCATCTTCCTTTCAAATGTAAAATTTTGTTTTACAAACTGTACATCCTGCCTCTTTTCATGTACGCTGCTGTTAGCTGGTGTGGCTTGTCCTCGGTTCTCGCTGAGCATCTCGAAATCCACCATAGAAAACTTCTTCGTATCCTGTTTAGTCTACCCCCTCTCTACTCTTCTGCTTCCCTGTTTGTCCTTGCAAATGCTTGCCCACTGTCGATTCACCGTCAAAAATTAATTTGCACTTTTGCTCACAAATTTAAACTAGCTCTACATCCTCCTCCTCTTAACGTACGTGTTCAGTTGTTCATTCAGTCATTCATTGTTCATTGTTATTAGTCGATGGAAGTGAAAGATATTGTTGAGAATAAATAGTTGTCCTCGTGCCGTGTGGGGTCGTTCGTTCCTGATACTTTAGAGAACCAGAGGGTTCCGAATCACAGATTGCTCCCAGACAAGATGCTCTGTTGCCCTCCCCTTGGCTAAAACGTCCTCCCTTGTACGCTCTCCACTCTGTTGCTTACTCTGCTTGGCTTGCGCTGCCCGCTACTACGCGCAATGCCAGTACCCTGGACGCATTTAAATCTGCTCACTAGATTCACCATCACCTGTCCCTCCCATGCTTCTCCGTCTTGACCATTACTTTTCTTCTTTTATTCACCATGGTTGGTTAACACCCACATCTCCCGTACTGGCTGATTTTCTTCTCATGCCATGAGGTGTTGTCTATAATACTTCAAAGTAATAATAATAATAATAATGTACATGTACATGTGCATACCATGGCATGGGCCATGGACATGCACAGTAATCAGTATTAGGAAATGTGCGATAAGACTTTCGAATAGAGGGGGCCCGGGGGGGGGGGGGTAAAGTCTATTCGAAATGCGTTACGTTTACAAAAAAAAAGTGCGAACTTATGCTACTATACTAGTACTTCGATGTAGAGAGAAGAAGAAGAAGAAAAAAACTTGATGAAAGAAAAGAAGAAGAAAAGAGTCTACAGCACGAGGTATTCCCAGGCGGTCACCCATCCAAGTACTAACCTCGCCCGACGTTGCTTGACTTCGGTGATCGGACGAGAACCGGTATTTTCAACGTGGTATGGCCGTAGACACCATTCTCCAGTCGGCGACTCCTCTTATAAGATTCGTCGTCACTGCATGTTCGCTCCTTCCTTGTCCATGGCCACTGCCACAAGCTTCTCACCTTTCAAACTGGATTCTAGTCAGTGCAGGATGAACCTTGAAAGCAATCATTCCCCATGGCATGATCGTGGCTGATGGACGTACTTACTGTAAAATGGGGTATTCACACCAGGGAGTAGTAACAAGACGGCAACGTCTGTAGGGCCTTCCCTATCAAAATAATAAATTCTACTACTACTACTACTACTACAATACATGGTCACAGTATTGTACTACTCCCTGATTCACACGGCAAAATCTCAGCCACTTTTCTCGTTCACAGGTAAAATACCATAGCAGTGAATACCCTATAACCTGAGCCTTCCAAGTTAGTTACAGTCGGAAGGTTGTAGGTTTGCGTTTCGGAGCTACAGGTGTCATAACTTGCTACATGTTGTCCTTCAAAGTTTCTTTTATCCAGTATACCGGTAGTATGTACTGTAAATATACAAATTTTCGGCAGCTATTTAATTTCGGCTATATTCGGCACCGACCCAAAACGCCTAAATAATTAAAACGCCGATGAAATTTTTCACAGCATCTGTCGCACTAGTGTCTATACCATGCCCTCTACCCCACGCCGAAAATAAATCACCGCCGAAATGTCAAAAATCGTGAAGTGCCGAAATTTTGTATATTTACAGTATACGGAGGAAATAGAAATGTAGTCACCAGCTAGCTCAAGTGGCCACAACCTAGGGCACCAGTAAGACTGGCAGGGCACTAGCCGTCACAAGGAAAAGGACCTCCAAAACATCTCTGGCAACGTTCTAAAATCGGCAGAATTTGATTGCCAGGTTTTCTGGAAGGGTTCATGCATGCTTTGTTACGGATACAGAAAAGGAGATGAAATGTTTGCATGGAAACTTTTCTACATCCTTTTCCATAATATTATCTAGTGTGTATTGGTAAACCAGCATGCCACCGCACTCTTCCGGCACATCCAATAATAGGTTTCAGTACAGAAGGTTTCTGATTGAAAAAAAAAAGCAGGGCCATCAGGCAACCGATCTAATTCCACGGCTCTGTTAGGAGTGGTACATAATCATTGTAGAGATAGAGAGACAGAGACAGGGGGATGGGGGGAGTGAGAAAACAGACACGTGAAGAAAGGACGAAGCGAAGAGGAACAGAGCGGAAACATTCAGAGCAACAGATGAAACAACAAGAAACGGTCAATAATTTGAATCTACTCAAGGCGATATGGTACACAGTACAGCGTCGCTCAAGCAAGCTGACAGGAGGGGCAGGGAGAAAAGACAAGAGGAGAAAACAGCTGTTTGGCTTTTTCATGGTGGGCTTGACTATAATATTTTGCTGTTAGGGGGCGAGCCTCCTTATGTATGGCAAGTTAGAAATACATATCTATTGAGGGTGACAAATACCATGGACAAATCAGAGAGAATAGAATATTGCAATGACAAGAACAACTATGGTGAGATCTACAAGTTTACAGCTAGCAAGCGACAGATCCCTTTGCTGAGTAAGAAAAGTATGCCCTAAAGGAACGGAGAAAGTGCTACCGACACAACACTGACTACATTCAAAGTGTGTATGTATGTGTGTGCATGTTGGCAACCTGGGCTGCTATTTCATGAACACGACTATCGAGTATGATTAGATATATACAGTCATAGGCACTAGCGCCAAAAGGAGGTACACGTGCACATTTGTATGCATTCATGTTGCCGCTAGGCCAAGGGAAACAGCACTAGTCCGTTTATCACATTGACATGCCAGCGGCCTCATCTCTTGCGAAATATGCTTTTGTTCGTTCGCTTCTTGAAGCCTGTTGGTTGACTTGACAAGTCCTGCTCTTTCTTGAGCACGAGATTAGCAGGTGGTGAACAGACCCTGTTCACATACATGAACATACCAGTAGAGACAATGTGTAAGGCAAAACATGTTTTGTTCCGAATAGAGCGCATCTCAGACAAGGCTTGCTGTATATTTCAACATAGGGCCAGCGATTCAACAATCTGCTAAAACCGCACTTGTCGGCGATTCCCAAATTTTCCTTGCAGAATAACACTTTTTCTCAATTTCTTACAACTAAGAAAGATAATTGGTAGCGTTGGAAAAATCACGAAAGTTTGTTTTCCAAGGAAATCCGGGCACCGAAGGCACGTTTCCATAGATCGCTGGCTATTTAACGTTTTCGAGCCGTTAGAGGTTTGGACTGCACAAACATGCAACTGGCAAGAGTGTTGACGGTGCCACAGGAAAGGATGAGAGAGAGAGAGAGAGAGAGAGAACCGTTAGGTACTTACGGAAGTGGCTCCCGCGTGAAGGGATACTTTGTTAGCGAGTTCTTCTCCATTGTCTGCATGAGCACACCCTGAAGAAAGGTTTAAAAAATACGTAAAGGCAAAAAAATTAATACCATTGTAATGATACTGCAGTACTCCCCAATGAAATACAGAATTGCCGTTGGGCACAGCACTGGGAATCTCGGCGCATACATGTCGGACGAGCACGGGGCTGCAGTATGTAGTATTATGACACTAAATCCGTATTACACTAGCTGCTGCTGGTGCATAATGAAGTATACACAAGCACTTAATTCCGACTCGGGCAATACTTCATTTCAGGTATGCCGAGTGGCAGAAATGACAGACTCGATTCCTGAATTGTTGGCACACTATTCCCAAAATAAAGCTGACAGGATCGCTTTTCTAAATGCAGGCGGTCATAGAACACCAGAACAAGAGGCACCGATACTTACTTCGCTCCTCAGCAAGTCACACGCTTTCCTCAAGTTTGCCAGGGGCAGTTGATGCGATCGGCACAGGAGCATGGCTGCATCCAATGTCGTCGCGCAAACGTTCCTGCAACAAGAAGCCGTGAGAAGTTGGGATATGCCAGTAAGTCAACGTGCGGCATAAAACTCAATTCACACAGCCTGAAACCTACAGTTGCGCTCGGTGAAATCCGGCCCGAAGTGCAAAGCCGGCGCCGCGAAGCCAGCTCCCATTACATCACTGGCGATTTGTGGGTATGAACTCAAATGTACGCACCTCGTGTAAAAGTTCGGAGTGCACGTGTTGCATGCTAAAAACAGTTCAAAATTTCTTTCATTCACTTCATGAAGTACAGCTCAAGATCAAGAAGAGATAGAGAAGAAGGACATTGCCACTCCCAATGTGTGGGCTCTTCTCAAGAAGAGAATAATTCCACATCGCTGCGAGAATGCTGACCAGCTGGTGCAGGCACTGCACCTGGAGTGGGACTCGTTGGCTCCTGACACGGTTTCCCCATACGTGGAGTCAATGCCACGTCGTGTTGAAGCCCTAATCGAAGCAGACGGTGGCCACACAAAATATGGAAGCCCTGCTGCTCTGTGTATGAAATAAACTGCTTCGAAACGATCTCCGTCTTCTTTACTTGTGCTGAACTGAAATGAATGTTACACTTGTCTTTGTTTGGCGCGGTTTTTTACACTTTGGTGTAGCATGCATGCGTATGAGTACAGCACAATCATGCACAGTTCATACGGCACACGCGCACACCAGCACTTGTACAACTTTGAGGGCGTCAAGGGCCGCATCAGTACTGGGCGCCAGTTATGCACTTCGGACCGGATTTCACCGAGCGCAACTGTAGAGTGTTATAGCATACATGGTAGAGTCAGCCAAACTGCATACTAACAGTTAGCCTTTAGACTAGGGCTGAAACGGTTACACATTTGTGCTTAACGGTTAGCTGTTAGCATAACGGTCGGTTAACCGGTTAAAACCTATAAGACTGCAACATGGAAACTTCATTGTTTTTGACGCCATTTTCATGCCTTGTCTGAAGAATTTTCATGGTTCTGTACGAAATACTCGAAAATAGGTAACATCCGCTGGGTAGCTAAAAAGTGGAGTGCACAATTTTCACCTTACACCTGAGGTCATAACTTTGGTGTCCTTCACTTGATTTTCACAATCTTGGGCTCCTTGGAAAGCTCCTGGTGAGAGCAAAGCGATGATGCTAGGTTCCATCAAGCAACCTCCACATATCAGGCGCAGGAACACAGCAAAATCGTTTCCAAACCCGATATGCAATCAAATCCGTCCCATCAACGCCATTTCACTTTCTTCCATCGCAGAACGCACAAATATTTTGAGACGATTGAACTTCAGGCCGCTTTGTCACTAGCAGGGAGTCGTCAAATACAGTAGGTATTTGACGACTCCCTGGTCACTAGTTTGTGCTCAGTCGCTCCAATTGGCCAAAGGCACGTAAAAAAGGATTTGTTTCACAAAAGGTGGTGATGAGTATCGATCGAAAATTTGAATTTGCAGAGATAAAAATTCGGCATGCGATATCTCTGGAGTCAAACATCGCAGATCTTCGGCGATTGTTGCAATGCAGAGCTCAGAGTTTCCGCTACCACGTAGAGCCTTCGATTGTTGAATTTGAACAAGAAATGACGGAGTTATGAAGGTTCCTATTTTTCGAAAAAATGTTCGAAAAAATCGCTGCATAACCGTCGATCAAACGGTTATCCGTTTGTTTGGCCCTAACGGTTACATAACCGGTTATTCGCAATAACCGTTTCAGCCCTACTTTAGACTCAACATGTCAATCCGCAAGGGCACATGTGCGCGACAAGTTGCAGCAGTTGAAGGATACCTCTTGTCGAGCTGGAAAATAACACCTACACCACCTGAGCTACTAACATTATGCAGCAATGCAACATCAATTCACAATAATATTATTTCGAAGTATTACCGTAACTAACTAATGATTTGCGTGTGCAAATTTCTGTATGAATATGACGTCAATTCTGGGTAATAGATATCCTTAGCTAAAAAAAACGTAAACGCAAACCTTTCCGGATCGTACAAGCTGACTTTTCCCTTAGCACAATGGGCGTTACAGTTCAGACGAAGTAGTCGTGACAACCATGGCGATATGAATATTCGTGGAAACAAGTGCGGGAAATTCAAAATTTTGAACCAGGGATTAGTTTGCTGTCATTCTGAAGGAATACCTTGGCGAGATCTTTCACTCTGGAATGGCAAAGGCATGGCGAAAATGAGTTTTCGCTGTTCTCAGGTCCTTGGAAAACCTTCCTAAAAGCAGCACCGAAGACTGTAAAGGCTGATTCACAATACAACTTTCTGCGACGCGCGATTTGCGACAGTTGCGACAAGAAACTGCCTGTCGCGAGCTGTCGCAAGCTGTCACAATGCACCTGTCGCGGAAGTTGAAGAAAGTTCAACTTTTGCGACATGCGACATACACAAATGGAGTACAGTTTCGACCCTGGGTGCACATGCAGTGCACGTGCATAGTACTACTTGTGCATGAGGATGTCGCAAATATGAAGAATATTGTGAACCGTGTGTCGCTGTCGCAGCTCGTCGCATGTGTCGCATGTCGCGTCGCAGAAAGTTGTATTGTGAATCGGCCTTAAGGTGGCTGGGGCGGTACAACTTTTTAGGGGTCATTTTGATCACATTTTGACTGCATTTTTGAGTTTATCGGCAAGGTGGAGATGAAATTTGAAAATGTTTTCTGGTGAATCTCTGGGGAAGAGCCTTCTCTAGCTTCCTATAGTTTTATTTTTACCTTTGGACAAAATTTGAAAAAGTTTTACGAAAGGTCCGTGAAAAAATAACACGAACCTTTCATGAAACGTTTTCAAATTTTGTCCAAAAGTAAAAATAAAACTATAGGAAGCTAGAGAAGGCTATTCTCCAGAGATTCACCAGAAAACATTTTCAAATTTCATCTCTGCCTTGCCGATAAACTCAAAAATGCAGTCAAAAATTTCCCAAAAAAGTTGTACCGCCCCAGCCACCTTAAGGGTTCTCCAGCTCCAGCACGTCTGGGAGAGGGCGATGAATTTCTTCCTCAGGAGTGCCGCGGAACCGGTCCTTTGTTTCCCAGATGGGAAAGAGGGTGAAAGGCACGAAGCAGAGGACGCAGATATTGTCAACTGAAAAGCAAAACTTGCAAAAAAAAGCTATAATTTTATTATGTTACCAGAGGAAGCAATCTCGAATCTGATCTCGATCTGATCTCGATCTGCACATGCTTTTTATCTCCCGCCAGTTACAAAACAATGCGAGTTTTTGCATTTTTTGCAGAATTTCCATCACGAACGTCGGCCCGTTATTTTGAGCTCTGTAACGTTTTTCCGTTACCAGATAACGTATTTTGTCACGGCTGGGAGTGAGTACCGTAAACGTTAGCGTTATCATACTTTTGCTAAGGATATCTAAGAATATTTAATTCCCATTTGCAAATTTCTATATGAATAATAATGCTATGAGTGTCATAGTATACCGTTACAATTACCTCCGTATTAGCGTCTATGAACTACGAGGACACTGTCGCAGAACAACGGATCTTTTTTTCTTCTCTCCCCCCCCCCCCCCGAGATTTAACTCATTTGTGCAATCCAACCCCTTCCTTTTCTATTTGTTCTCTTCTCTTTCTCTTCTTCTGGATGGCAATCTGGCTGAGCTGTCCCTTTGTTCTGTTTTGTTTTATACTACCTATGTCCAGCATAAACGAATGTGTGGGCTGAGCAAGTGTCGAAGACACTTGCTTGGCTGACTCGGCCGCGGGAATGCAAATAATAATAAAAATATCAATGTGCACACCAATAAGATAGAGGTCGGCCAGTTGGCATTTGCAGCATTTCAAATGTTCAATGCATGTACACAACTTCACATACCGACAGTTTCCATTCAAGCTGGAAGAGACGCGTACTCCACCGCAGCGGTGCGTGACTTCACTGGCCAGTGACAGGACTGCAGCGGAGTTGTAGATGTTGTCTCCCTTGCCGTACTCGACGGTCTTGCTCAGTGCGGAAATAGTCTCGCCAAGTGTGTGCAGTGGTTTGAGAAGCTGTACCAAGAAACCATGGAGAGATGCAGGAAACACTTGCCGGTAGTACACTAAGCATGTTGCCATATTGCCTCGACTTTACTCTCTACAATAGCTTTGAACTAAATCCTATATAAATGTATATAGAAGTCCATAAAAAGGGGATACATGTACAGTCAGAAAATGCAACAACTGACTATAATCTAGTTCAGAGGCGGGCAGTTACTCTTAATTCGTATCCACGTGTCCCTTTCCTTTTTTACATTTTCAAATACTGGCTCAACATCCCTAGACATGTAGCTCAGCACCGAAAAATACAGACTTGAGGGCGGCCTTTAGCCTACGAGAGAGGGCTTATGCACAGATTCAGCCAAGACCCTAGAATGTACGGTAACGACCGAGCCAGTACGTGGCCAATTATAGATAGAGATTCACAGTAACATGGCGAAGGTTTGGGTTTGGAGCATCAGGGTTATTTGTTCAGAAACGCATGCAGCAAGCTTCAGGAAAGGAACACAATCATAATAATTCCTTTCGAAGATGGAAGAGCCCCTTACCCGATCGATCTCCACCATTTTCTCCTCAGGGTTCTCTGGGAGGCGAGACTTATCAAGCACACATGACCTGTAACCAAAAGAAAATAGGACAAAAACAAAGGCTGCTATCAAGGCTACCATCACAGGTACTAGGCATATTCATTTCTTTTGGGAAGCCACAACGTTCCACCATGTACCAGTACTGTGCAGGTGAACTTTCATGTCCACAAAGAAGACACAATAACGTTCCACTGTACTGGTAGTAATAGAATGAACAGAGGAGGTTTCTTACGACAGCAAAGTCATAAATCAAAATTTGAGTACCGGTCTAATCGGTAACACGCTCTGCTCCGTGGTAGTGAGCACTCTCCGCACACTGGGTGCATCCTCCGGAGTACCATTCTTCTCAAAATCCATATCAACAACTTACTACCTGGAGTGCAAATGTGGTGATAAATATGTCGGAGAGACGTACCGCAGCCTCGCTACCAGGACAAAAGAACACAACGACGACGCACGCAACACAGTGAGCGGCACCGCGCTGGGTGAGCATTTCGCGGCCAAGCATGCATCTGACCCATTGCCATTGGGAGCAACGGCTTTCTCAGGTATCCGGGTTCTCGGTTCTGAGCGTGACCGCCCCAGGAGGAGGATCCGGGAGGCGATCAATATCAGGGAGCGATCCCCGGAAATTAACAATAACAGTGGCTGGGATCTGCTATAACACCACCTTACTGCGAGTGGCGCGGGGCTCTAGACACCTCACTGGTGGTGTGAGACTGGAACTGGGCTGTTATCACTGCTGTAGCGCAGTATCTACTTTCCTCGCCGTTTGTGCTTGTGTTGTCATGTATATGTAGTAATGCACACCCGCCATGACGTGCTTTGCACTTCTCTACGCGCGCTGTCACTATGTACCGCGCTTTGCTTGCTTGCCTCCTTCTTTTATACTGCTGTTCTTTCCATGTCCACTTCATTCCTGATGATGGTCATAAAGACCGAAACGTTGTAACGATACCAATGGATTTGTGTGAAATGCAGTGCTCTCTTGAGTGTAGGCAGGTTGCCTGCAAACAATTCAAACAACTTACTAGTACCCACAAATGGACTCAAACACAGGGCACACACACACACACTAACATCTTTACTCTATGTCACTATGCTTCCGCTTACCGGAATATTTTGTAGTACTCTCTCAGTTTGTCAACAGAGGTGATGTTGCAGCTGACTTGGAAAGTACGACGTCCTTCGGATGATGCCATGGCCTCTTTCGGAAGCGGGCACAGATCTATGGGAAAAGGAGCAGGTGAGAGAGAATTCATTGTGGCCACAGCACTACCACAACTTGCCTTGTGCAGGTTTTTCCCCGTATGTCACCGTACTGTGCATATAAATTCCCTGTGCCATCACATTATAGCATAGGCCTAAAGTCATCCCGGTTATCCAAACCCTTCTGGGCAAGCATTTTCGATGGTGTATTCTGATGATCCAAACCACCCTCACATCCACACTGCCTCCACTTCAATCTGTTCTCATATTGCTAGAATGTGGAGTAAGTGTATGTGTAACGTACTTTCAGGGGACACAAACAGCTGTACTTTATAGACAATTGTGAAGAACATCCCGCAAGTGATCGTCACAATACATGCTTACATGCTGCTTACGTAGCTCTGTTTTTCACACAGTACTGGGTAATCATTATGTACTTACTTGCAGAGAAGACGCATGGTGTGATGCGCACGGAGCCTGTCTGCAGGCTTAGTGGCAGCTTCTCGTAGCGGCAGTCATCGATGAAGATGGTGACATCCAACTTATACCTGCTGCCAGTGATTTCGACAATAGCCTTGTCCCAGCCTAGAATAGAAATTTAGCAAGAACCCGGGCCACACAGAAACAGACACCGTCATTAATAAGAAAGTTCTGCAAGTTCTAATGTAGATCGTGTTCTTATCTGGTGCGGTCAGTAAAGTAAAGAGCGTCTGGACCGGGTTCCACAACAAATTACTTGAAGTACATACACATGTACATGGATTTCCTTCAAGGCTCTGGTGGTGGCGACCGTGACAACTTCCGTACACATCCGATATGCTGCAATGGTTGATCCGTGTCAGATAACTTTACGCCAAGCAAGGCATGACTCGATTGCAAATGATATTATCTAGTTTAGATTGTACCACAGAATGCATTAGGCGATACGGAGTACATTGTACATCTACTGTGAAGGGCATCTACATGGGCATCTACATGGGCATCGGTTCAGGACAGCAGGAGTTCGACAAGCCAGCATTTAATAAGGGCAGCTGCAGCAACCCCCAGCAGATGTGCAGAAGGGCCTGCAGGAAGTGCTATAATAAGATGTGGTGCTTCCTAGGTGCAAGTCTCTTGTGAGTCCATGATCAGAGCAGTGGTGCACAAACAAGCAGATCTACGCTAGTGATGGTGGTGTAGGCACGCCGCCCCTTACTCTCATCATTCTCGGCCATTTTCTTTGTCCAGCGGCGGATGTAGATGGTGACATTCTCCAACTGTGACACGGCCGGAACAGCATCCTCCAGCATCGACATCTCCGCATCCTATAAGAAAAGAAAGAAAGAAGCACACCGACATGCACATGAAATAACTTGCCAGGTAAGGCAGCTTTATGACTGGCAGATGTTGTACCTGACAGCTAACATAACAATAGACAAGCGCTCAATGTGCAAGTGCATAGCTGATACATTGTATTGTATTTATTCAACATTGCCTGACTCGTCAAACGACTGCCAATGACAAATCAATACAATCATGACAGAGGCAAATCAGTGCCTCCTTTGTATGTTTATCGATGTCTTTAATACTCTTTATATGCTATGTACTAGTAGTACGTACACGTCAGCAAAGCAACGCAGAAAATTCCGACAGGAGCAAGAAAATGAAAAGATGTGATCCGATGCCATGTTCTGTGCACCAGCAACTCAAGATCCTGCATATTGGACAGAAGTGTATGCCCCTACAGTCCATTTCAAAACTATAGACGCGGCGTACCTAGGCAAAAACCGTTATGCCAGCATCTATACCACATAACATCTGTGATCACTTTGTGCATAAATTTTTCCAAATTGGGCGTCTGTTATCCAATCGTTTAGAAACTAGATGAGAGTAATTGTGGAGCGGACCGGAGCAATATTCCGAAAACTATTCTCAAAAAGTTCCAGCCAAATTTGAAATATTTCAAAAACACTGCACGTCTATAGTTTTGAAATGGACTGTAGATTCCGGAAATTTAGACAGAGGATGAGCCGGATGGATTTCTTGTATGCTGCATGGTACATCTCTCTTGTAAAAGAACTTTGGCTACACATACATATAGGTCTGGTGGAAATATCAGGCAAACTTTCGCCATTCTAAAAGAACCAATTCACCTACACATCTGCGTTCACTATTCTAGTACATATGCTATATGTCTTGTGTTGTGTCAACTGTACCCGATTAAGACCATTACAAAGACAACAATGGCATAACACTGCTGCGTTACGAACAGTGGGGAGGGCGATGACGATTCACCACTGAACACCACAACTGTGCCATGTATACATGTAACTAACTGTGCCATGTACATTTTTTATACATGTACTACCGTAAAGGTCCGTAAATAAGTACGTATTTACTTTCGATTTTAGTGACCACACCCGTACTAACTTTCGGGCGGGTACTGACTTTCGGACCTGACTTGTGTGTAGTGGAGAAGTCATTTTCATGTCAATGTACATGCTACGTGCTGCATGTGCGCACCGTACCGGTACTTATTTCGGGCAGTATGTTTATCGGGCTTGACTTGACTTCAACAGACAGGGCCAAAAGATTGAAGGGGGTATTTCTTTCGGGCAGGTACTTATTTACGGACTTTTACGGTACTTACCACCGTGGGGTCAACAATGACTTCGTAGTCGGCAACTATTCCGCAGTCGGCCAGCTGCAGCAGCCATCGGTTGCTCATCAGCTCAGTGTCAGAGTGATGCTCTGGGAGCGGATTCAGCTCACCGCCCAATGCAGACTCCAGCTTGGCCAGGAATCCCGACATGAAGGAGGACAGAACTTGGGAGAAGACAGCGTCGCGCCGCTGTATAAGCTGCAAGTCTGCGGGAAGAAAGCGTAGACAGAAGGCCACAAAGGTTGAAGCATACGTATACTATTACAACACAGTCATTCATTGCCCGTACTGAATTTACTGTAACCCCATACTCAGTCGGATCCCTTAACAAGTGAAGATTCTGCAACTTGCGCTCCAATAGGATAAGAAAAACCCACCGGATAAACAAATGGGTTGCTGAAAGTTCATCACAGTACAAGTGAAACTGAATGAGAAGCGTGCCTGGCAAACCAGCCACCCAAGAACACTGAGTGCATGCTCAGAAGTACGTGTTGATGCCAGCGTATGCACTGGCCCGCATTCAATAATTATGAGAATGCACAACTTACCATCATCTTGAGCGATGGTGCACATCAGACGATTAAAGATTTCTTAGAAAAGCAGCAAAAAAAAGACAACCGAATGGGAAAGTAAATAATTAGAATAGAAGAAATCACATGGAAACGAGTTATGAACATTGGCGTCCAGTTTTGTACAATTCGTTTTCGCAAAGCATCCCCTTTCTTTATCCCTGATATTGCTGACCCACTCAAGTTGGATGGTGTGTTGCTTTGCTTCTTCGAATTGTAGTTAGACCGCATTGTCATGTTATTAACTGGTCTCGTCATCTTCTTGTAACGGTCGGCATTCTTTGTTGCCGTGGGACTTAGCTTGTGCACATTTTCGCTGTGCTGACCATCCTCTCGTTGGTTCTACCATAACCATGAATCTTCCAAGCTGGAAGGCTGTTGGTTTGCTCAGTGGAGATGTGTTAGAGCTAGGTCTTAGGTTGTTGAATGTCTCAGTAGCCTGTCAGTTTTTGTGCCCTGTTTTCGCACTTTCTGGCTGCTTATTATCTTGTTACAGTGGATAGTTGGTTCATAACTCGTTTCTAAATGGAAAAGTGTCATTCATTTCTTTTTCCTCTTTTTCATCTCACTGATAATTACCATGCAATCACAGCAATCTTGCAGTACGCCCAGCATATCACATCATAGACAGCAACTAATCATCATAAAGCACTCCCAATCATTCGAGGCAGCTGTGATGCACAGGTAGAGACTTACCTGAGTGTAATGTATTGAGGTTCTCGAACAATTCCCAAACACACTTGTCAAAGGGTGCTTCATTCGCTTGGATGAGCGCCGCGAGACGCTCGTTCTCCTTCACCATGACATTGGCTGAGCTTATGCTACTTGTCAGAGCTGCAGAGGACGCAGCAAGTCGTGAGAGTGTATGAGCAAAACGGCAAAAATACAGAGTTCTAAGCTTGTACTAAACGGAGGACAGTGCTACTCACTGAAATCCGATTGCGTGAGTCGAGTTAGCACCCTGTACCCATGCACAGCCCCCCCCCCCCCCCCCCCGTGTTCACAGGTCTGGGGGCAGCACAGTGCAAGCCTTTACACTGACTTGCATGATCAGATTTCCGTCAGTAGCACTGCACATGTATACGTCGGCACATTCACACAGGTCACAGGTCAACAGTGCCATTGAAAGCTATGAAACTACATTGTACTTCATACTAGTTCATAGTCACAACGAACTGTGCCTGTTCTGCTCGATGGCATATCGGTGGGAATATCATGAACTTGCCAGTCAAGAACCACACGCATTCATATCACAAGCCTATCTCGTTCGTCAGAATGGCAGCACCACTTCACGAGTGGCAATGGCAATGAACGGCAGTAGCTATCAGAAAGTGTCTGTACCTTTATGTGCCGCCGAGATGTTCGGTTCCAGGTACTGACTGATGGAGGTCCTGCGCTCCTTATCACCCGCTACAATACAACACAACGCGTACAAGAGTACGAGTACAGTAAAGTCAAGAGGCTGTCGTTGTTTCTGCTGATGATGCAGTACTAAGGCTTTCCATTCACGACTTGCTCAAACTTTATGCACACAAGCGGATCAGCAGTAACGCACGTTGCAAAGAAACACACGCCATCACATTTACATGTAGAGGCACATGGGAAATATTCTTTGCGGGTTCAGATGGTTCACAGCAATGGCCTACCTCCTGCACTGATTAGCAGCCCATCGGTCACAAGGAAAGCATTCACGACGGCCTTGTTGACGCAGCTGCCCAGGTATTTCGTCACCTGGTCATTTCACAGGAACAAACAGAAAACAGAGCACAGTGGTCGCATGATTCAGAGTCAACTTTGTGAATAACGACATCGGGCATAGCAACACCTCGCGACTAACAACAGGAAACTGGGGAAAGACGATTCAATTGGCTGTTAAACTGCCCAACAGTCGACACGTCCTGTGCTCGTGGATGTGCGAGCACATAGTCCTGTAGGACACTCCTTACCTGAGAGCAGAACGCCATGGCACGCGACTGAGGTGTCATTGGACTGTTGAGGTTGATGGTGGCAAAGTCCTCGGTGTCATCGCCGCCTTCGTCCTCGCTGACACCACTCACAACGCTTGCTAGACTCACACAGCTCGATGACAAATTGATGAACGGACTCTGCCATGGCAACAACGACAACACAAATTCAGTACTCACACGGGTACAGCTTCAGATGAAATCAAGGAATAGAGAACAGAATGCAGCGCAACAGTACTACTGTATTACTTCATTGCCGTGGCCGCAATGCATTCTAATACTTGCTTATCAGAGAGTAGAAACAAGTGGTGTGGTCAAGAGTTAAGGTGGCCGTGCTAGCTGTAGGCTGCCAGGCAAACACAGACTGCCGCAAAAGAATTGCTCCGTCAGCTTATCAACGGGCACGGCAATTCTTGCTTTGGAAGGGAAATGGCTAAGCAACACATTCTCTGGCACAGAAAAGCTCCAACAGACACAACACACACAAAAGACAGGCAAACAGACAGACAGACAGACAGACAGACAGACAGATACACACACACACATTTATATTGATACAGGAACCAGCTACAATTCTGGCCAGATAAATTAGACCTCAAGATACAAAGTAGCGCCGTACTCAAGTGAGCAGAGCGGTGTATGTGGTGCTAGGGCCGCGAAGTCATCGGTGCTAATTAGGGGTCAAAGGGGTGTTCCGGGTACCCGCCCGTTAATCTCTGGTACCGTTAGTAAAAGGGTACCCGTTTGGATTTCGATGATCCAGTCAGTACGGAACAACACCGCTGGGATCGCGCATTCCCGGCGGGAATCAATTATTTACAACTCCACCCTGCCGGCCTGGATGTCTGCATGCATTGTTGTTGCATTTTCGCACCTAGTAGGTCTGCCTCTGCAACTATCAGACACAAATAAATTCGCGAATCACAATGTGATATCAAAATGCATCCGGAGACCAGATCCAAATGTAAATTAAAATCATTATTTATGTAAAAAACGCGCAAAAATTAAACATGGCTGCTAAAGGGTACCCGTTTACCCGCCCGGTAAGAAAATTACCCGTTCGTTAGTTAAAGGTACACCCGTTTGACCCCTAGTGCTAATATATACATGACGGCGGATTTCTCTGGCCAGGACTTTACAATAACTAATTGTATAGAAGAGCACTTCCCAACACACACACACATGCGCACACACATGCACACACACACACACACACACACACACACACACACGCACACACACACACGGCATACATCTATCACTAGAAGTCTCAGCAGTCCGGCTTTGTTCGGCCAAGGCCTAAAACTGCGTGTAAGCCACAACTCACCGGTCCGTAAGATGGGTTAGAGGACAGTGATGTCCGTGCATGATAATCATCACCGGATGCTCTGTAAAGATGTGCAAAACGTTTGTACAGAAAAAAAGAGTTGGTACAACATGTACCACAACTCCTCCCCCCCCCCCCCCCCCCCAACACACACCCAGGCACAAACACACCGATCGACGAAAACTTCGAAAAGGCAATGCCATAGAGAATTCTCCACTCACGATTGGTAAATATTAATTGAAGTCGAAAATCTGGCTCAGCCCGAACTTCTTCTGAAGTACATTTCTAACTACAAAAAACAATATGCACATTCGTACATTTGTAAGCAGAGTTTGTAGAGAGAATCCTGTACAGTGCAGAGGTCCCTACTGATATAAAAATCTGAGTGTTTGTTGTATTGAATTAGGGCATAGGTGCATCGAGCAAAGAGAGAACTCACCGATGAATGACATCAGCTGCTTGACACACGCGAGCACATAGACGCTGGCAGTTGGTCAGCATAGCCCGAACACCCAGAATGCTGTCCAGTGTTGTCATTTGTGACTGCAGAATACACGTGAACACAACACACGGCACAAACGGGGTAGTACAGATGTTGTGCAACATGTAGAAGTGGGCGGCTCACCCTCCTTAATTGGTACTTGGTACAACAAGCGATGGCTTACACAGAGGTAGAAGTACTGTATCTCTTAGCCTGTCACCAGGAAACCCTATATATAGGGTTTGACATAACGCTACACATAAAGACCCTATATATAGGGTTAGGACCCCTAAAGAAAGGGTTTGATCAGTCCTCACAACTGGGCACACAATACACACAGTTTCACTTGGTTTTTTTTGATATTTTCACTGGATTGCCATTGATGTTAGCAGGAGCGCTCCTACGACGTGCGCGAGTGTCGCCGCATTTGCTGCTTCCGACCCACGTGTGGATCAGCTGATGCAGAAACGGCAATGGCGGGAGCGGCAGCTGCGACAGCCGCTGTTGATGCTTCGCCTTCTTCTTCAGGAGCATCCGACGCTGCTGGAACATCGACATCATCATCCTGAGTCGACACCAGGTCGCCAGGAACATTCTCATCGCCCGAGTTCGTCTCCACTAACTCAAGTTGCTCTTCCTCCATCGTGAAAAATCAAACCCTAGATATAGGGTCTAGAAAATGTTACGACAGCGCTGCACTAAAACTAACCGTACTCGAAGAAAACAGCAACAAAATGATCACGGTCTTCAGCAAGAGAACCGTACGTACATTCTACGTATGTAGGCCCAGGCGTCTAGTTGCCATAGCAGCCAAGCGGGCTCTCAAGAGAGCTCAAGATAGAACGCGCGGCTGAAAACCCTATAATATAGGGTTTGACAGGCTAAGAGATAGCAGGAAATTTTCGGACGGAATTTATTTTCGTACGATTTCGTACACGGCCTCTTTTGTACTAAAATTAATTCCGTACTAAAATTTGTTCATGTGAAATTATGTACACTATACATGGGTACTGCTTGCGAACACATGCATTTAGCATGCAGCACTGTACGAAAATAAAATCCGGACGAAAGGTCGAAATTCGGCTTTGTCCGAAAATATTTCCGTCTGAAAATTTCCTGCTATACAGTATATACCGAAATCTTGTGTATAATCGAAAATTCGCTGTTTTCTGTCCTTTCACAAGTGCATTTTTGTTCGATTATAAGACCATGGTCTTATATGCGAGAGACAAACATCGCATCGACATGTACATGTGTAAGTAGTAAGTACGCATATTATTGGTAATTGCCAGTAAAATGTAACCATGATGAACCTCGTGTGGTTTTGTGATTTTCATTCACTTATAAGTGCATGTTCTTATAAACGAGAGTGCTCTTATATTCGATAATAAGAACATGTCCTTAAATTTCGCAATCGGTACTTTCGCATGCAACTGTAGCGTACACAACAACGCACATTCACAAATTCAGTACACATTTCCTTCTATCAAACTTTTTCTTTCCCTTCTCTTCAGGATAGTACAGGGAATGTTGGAAATTAGGAAAAAACACATACCGTATTTCCGCGCATATAAAGCCATGGCGTTATATCCGAATATAAGGCCACCCTCACTTATAAAGCCATGGTGTTAGAAGTGAACAAAATTCAATGTGGAGGAAGTTGCATATGGCGTTAAAGGTGAGTTCAATTCTTTCAGTGAACCTACAGTAGCGGTGATTCTCTCTGCATGTGCCCATCCCCACGGTCACATGCCATACCGCCACCGTACCTTCACAAAGTTTGTATGCCACCTTGTACACAATAGGTTCACAATTTGAAATTTTCAGGGAAAATTGAAAGTACATGTACATGGATGCTCGACATGAACGTCCAACGGCACCGCACGAGAACTCGAAGTTCATACTCTGCCGATTTTTTCCATGTACGCGTCTCTCACTTTTAGCACCATGGCGTTAAAACCGAGGCTATTTTCTCCAATAAGTTGGTCCAAAACAGCGATGTTTCACCTATAACGCCATGGCTCTATATGCGCGGAAATACGGTAACTATAAAGAAAAAGAAAGAAAAAGTCAACACTTCAACATAGGCGATAAAATGATTTAAGTGTTAAAAACTCAAAAACAAAAGCTGCAAGTTGTCGACAAACACGTTGAACACGCGAGGGAACACTTGTCACACTTTCATGCGCGAGATTACGGTATTTATATTAGGTACAAGTATGCGTCGCTGGCTGGTTTCTGTAATTTGAGCACTTTCTAGCATGAGTACATTGGGTTATCCTAAATATCTGTGCCTCTTGTCACCATGGTGGTCGGCTTAGACCGGTCTCACTGCAGTTCAGTCCTACTTAGCATGTACAGGAAACCTTCAGGATAAAGTAGCCTGAATATAAGCAAGAGTACATAACCCCCAAGAGTGTGCAACTGCCTGCACAACCTCTATGCTGTGCTGCGACGGCAGAACTTCACATCACGTGACATGGTTCAAAAGGTTATGCTGGCAAACAGTGCAAAGTGACCACAAGAGAGTTGTACCCAAAGCTGGGCTGCGTACAACCCTGTATCTATCATGCACAGAGTGCAAATAATGTGTACGGGTTCATCACGTGATGTGAAGTTCTGCCGTCGCAGACCCCATAGCTGGAGTTGCACACTCTTGGGGGTTATGTACTCTTGATATAAGACAACACGGACTATGAAGTATTATTTTGAGGACCATGCACTTTCGCTTTGCATGCACCAGCCGTGGGTGAATACTAGTATACAGTAGTCCAGCAATAAAGTTGGGATTGCGCAGACCTTGGAGGCACGCTATACTGAGGTGTGACTGTAGTTTTCACTGATAAGGCCTCACTGGTTAAAATACGTAAAACAATTACCTGTCTAAAGTATTGAGTAAAGTACAAAAATACATTGTCTAGATGTCGTTTTGCATGGGCAATCCCATCATAGGCAATGCATTGTAATCTTATGCCAGAAGTATCACCAGCCCAGCTCCAAAGACATACAGGGAACCATGCCACAGAGTTCTAGCACCACTCACCTGCAGACCACAGTTGCCCATCTGGTGCACTGTTGACGGAGCTGCGCATAGCACGCTATGGTGTGTGCTGTGCAATGCTGGAATGCACACACGCACGCATGTAGAATAGATACGCACACACGCGCACGCACGCACACGTGCACGCACACACACAGAACAAAGTGCATTAGACATGAAACCAAGTACACTGGTACAAAGGGGAGCGCATTAAATAGAAGCATAGCTTAAAACAACATTAGATGAAACAATCACAGTCAGACATAGTCCCCATGATGATCATTGATTGACACTGGCTGAGTGCCTGCGGTAACACTGTACAATGGTAAAGCGGCAAATACATGTAGACACAATTATATTTGGCACACTCGTCATACTTCACAACTTACATTCACCAGATATGGTATTCGTCTCAACCACTAGTTCGTAGACGTGACAGTTCATCGGGCAACCAGCATACGAGATACGCGCGGAGTCTTTATTGCCTTTGAATGACGGGAAGTGAGTTTGACGGAAACTTGCCTCACACTGAGGGTGAAGATGAAAACAAAACACAACCAGTTGATGAATGATAACAAGACCATAGAATGGACCATAGCCAATGAGTCAATATGAGCCATACTCCAATTTCCACAAGCAAATTAAATGCAAAAGGTGACAAAGTTATTTAGTAGTACAGTAAAACCTGTAATGGCGACCACTCGGATATGGCGACCACTTTTCCTTGTCACGGACGCATTCACGTTCAAAACACCTCGGATAAGGCGACCACTCGCTCAATGCGACCGACGACCACCCACCCGCGACCGCGTTGCACAGTGCTGGTCATGTAAATGTACGCATTGCATGGTGCACCAGGCATGGTAGATCTACACATCAGTGCAGGAAGTGTAGATGTACGTGGTGCATGCACGGCATTTGACAGGTCTGAGGACCCCAGGCACATGAGTCGTGCTAGAGTAGCATAGGTGTGTGCACTGTGATGCACTGATCAAAATGATGTATCACATGTGGATATGGTCACGTGACCCACTGAACCTGGATAAGAAGACCACCTGGCCACGGCGACCACTTTTTCTCGTCCCTTGAGGGTCGCCTTAGACAGGTTTCACTGTATTTACCTGACGATACGTGCCAACGTGACGGTTTAGTCGGCGGTTGTAGTTGAGCAGGTAAGATGAGAAGGGATTGTTCTCAGGCAGTGTGTCTGATAACCGCCGCACATCCTCCGACAGGGCTGCATCCTCGGCTGCCCACAATGCGTAGAGCTGTGGGTACACAGAGCAGGGAAGAACACCATCATGGCATGGCTGTAAGAACACCATCATGGCATGGCTGTAAGAACACCATCATGGCATGGCTGTAAGAACACCATCATGGCATGGCTGTAAGAACACCATCATGGCATGGCTGTAAGAACACCATCATGGCATGGCTGTAAGAACACCATCATGGCATGGCTGTAAGAGCACCATCATGGCATGGCTGTAAGAACACCATCATGGCATGGCTGTAAGAACACCATCATGGCATGGCTGTATTATACTAGTGTACATACTGTAGACTGAAACTCTCCTTCTCAGGCGCGTGCACGTGCACGCGCATGTGCGTGTGCATGGTGCGTTGAACACATGTGCATGGTGCGTTGAACACATTTCCAAGCGGAAATTAATTTTAGCTATTATGTAGCTGAACATATGTCACGCAATTACCAGATGCATGGGAAACACCCACATAGTGGAACAAGAGGTACTAGTATGGATACTTTACATGGGTGCAGTGTATTACCTTTGCTGGCATACTGTAGGTAAAGAGCGACTCGATACTGCGTTCCTGAACCTGAACCGTTGATCCATTCGGTGTGCTATAGTTGTAGAGGACGTTGTGGATTATGTCAGGTAGTGCCACCGTGATGTCAAACTTCTTGTCTTCTTCCGCAACCCAAGACAAGCTGCATTCATACAGATAAACAAACACACGTACACGCGTGCACACACGTGCATGCACACGCACATACAGCAAATGCTTTGAAGTGGATGTGGTGATGTGAAGATGGAACAAGTGATTGGACTTTTTAAAAGTAGCAACTGATATCCAAATCATCTGAGAGCAACACAGTGAACGCTGCTGAGTCACCAACTTACATTTTCTTGGCATCTGAGTCCGGATTTCGATTGTCGTCGACTACGATGGATGGAACGGCAGCAGTAGACTGAGTGCGCAACACCACTGTATGATCATCGTCATCTTCTAGGCTTTTACCGAAAAGAATTTTCATGGCCACGGGTAGACCGGCTTGTAGAGTATCATGGTCATCCACACGTGCAATAGCAAGACCCGGGAACAGACCGACACGAGAGGCAGCCGAGTCTGCAGGAGCAGTGGATACAAGAGAAAAACACATCAATAGGATTTGATGCATTGTACGTGGTTCTTGGGCCCAATGGTTTGGCATGAGGTAGAGCTAAGCACATGATCATAGTGCATTATAGCATAGTGTAGCCAAGTCTGTATGTGGTGCTGACCGCCCAATGGCGTACAGATAGCCAAACTTTACTGCCAGGCTGTGTTACTGCACACATGCAAACACACAGAAGTCGACAGTTACAATAACCAGGCAATATGATGTTGCCTGAGGAGCGCTGCGCCTGTAACTCTGAGTTGCAACAAATCGTCCTGACTTCAATGTTAGAACGCTCAGCCTCTGCCCCGGGTATTGGGCACTGTGTGAGCAGTGCAAGTCATCTACTGTGCAGATCTAAACAGATTGAGATAATTATATGCAGCGGCGAAGCGCCACAGATGACAAGACTCTATTGATCGGGGTTTCTTATTGCAGTGCTCACTAAGCACAGGTCTTATGGCAAGACACGATGTATGTTAATCAAATCAATGAATGTGAATAGCTAAACTGGGCGCATCATAATTCCTTGGACCACACCGGCTAACATAAGGGAGACTGTCAGAAGACTGTCGCCATTCGAAACGAAATGCTGAAATTAGAATCAAGTACTAAGTTACTATTACTGTCCAGCATGTAAGGCTGCAGCGCGTGAGCACCCGATGCACAGCACAACAATGCCATCTTGTTTAATGTGTATCACGCTGAGAATAGGCAAGAGAACTGACCTGGCACGACATGTGTGATGCTGACTGGCTGTGAACCACCCATGCTGTATCCATACTTCTCACCAGACGCCACCTGCATTCGCTTCATCCTAAAACAACACATGCATCAAAGCACATGCTAAGCCATAGTAACATGTCTGTCATGAGCGATGGAGCTAGCCAATTCTACAGGATATATGCTTGCAGTACTTCAAGTGCACATGCAGGTATGTGACTGGGGTGCGGTATGGAAGAATTTCCGGACTCATGCTTCAGCTAACTGGACTGGACATATAAGGCGCGGCCAAAACCGACCGGACATAGCCCTCAAGCCTGGAGTTCCTTGCTTAGGCATGCGTGTACATTTCTAGGACATCGACACCAGTTTGCCCTAGAAGGCGCTGGGGAACATGGAACTCCACGAAATATGTGGCTGGTATGACAAACACGGTTTGACAAATAATGACCATTGATACGGGTATGACAAGATACAATCAGGACTTGGGCAAGCACACGTGAACTGATGCCAGTGTAAGTAATCCAGCCAAAACGGAGGGAAGGACGCATCGACACACTGGCACACTGACACACGTCGCAAGTGCACTTACTCTGTGGAAGGCGACATGTAGGTGAGCGACAGCCATGTCGATCTGTTGCGCAACAAACCCACGATGGACTCGACGTCAATGCCGACCACCGAAACGCCATTGACAGTGTGGATATTGGCACCGACTGTCAGACCTTGAGTCTGGTTAGAAAGAATTTGAACAGAAAGACCACGGCATGGTTTATGACTATTACACGCTGCTTGTATTGCAGGTCTTCACGCACTCGGAGAAACAATATTTTGATCACGCAAGGGCAGGCATGATCAACAAATCAATAGTTGTGCCCCGAAGTGATGATGAATAGTAGATTCAGCACTACACCTGCTGATCATCCAACACACTACTACTGCCCAGACCAGTCACACTGTCAGAAACTGACAGTCACACCACTACTAGCATGTTCACATTTGACTTACAGCTGCAATGCCAGTCGCAACTACCGAGGACACCACGTTGGGCCGGCTGCTGTTGATCGAGAAGCCGAGTGTGTCAGTTTTCGGCCGAATGTTGATGGCACGAGTAGTGGCCGCTGACTGGACTTCCAACACCTGACTTGCACCAGGGGCTGCTAGCTCTGTCTTTTCCTTGAGTTCGTCAGCACAGAAGCGGTAGTGCATGTCCTCCCGGTCTCTGAACTGACTCTTGCCGTCCACTGTGGGACACGCAACGTAAGTCACACGAACACACATACACATGCACGCACACACACACACGCGCACACACACACACACACACACACGCACATGCACACAGAGTCACAAAATACGCCACAGTGGAAAATGTGCTGCACTGGCAGCACAAGTACATGTATGTTTGAAAATGTGGACGGCTCATGAGGAGGCACAGTAAATCCACGCAGCACAACAACTAATCATAGTAGAATGATTCTACTATTCAGAGGTGCTCAAAGTGCCTGGTGGCAAAGCTGTATTTCCCATCTAAAGCTGGCATATGTATCCAATTAATGGTGCGTGAGGGTTGCATTGAGCATGAAACACTCAGTTACATTGGGTAATGGAAATCCTGCTCGACCTGTTCTGTCATGACTAATCACTGATGTCGCTAACAGCCTGGCATTGCAAGACTAGAACACAGTAGTGTTCATTCTCGCATCAAAATGCTCATCCGCCTGAGGACTTGGAACACATTTAGCGCTGAAACAATTAGTACTAAACAGGGAAGTACGTTGAAATGCTGCAATGCATTGTGCTACAACACCAATGCTCATTGAAAATTGAAATGCAATTGCCTGAGGCTGTGCACCATAGCAATGCAACTACCTGGATTTATTATTTATAGCAATGTGTATTTTTAACTATTCACACTCTTCATCCGTGCTCAAGAATAGAACTCTGGTGGGGACAGTGTCGCTCTACAAGTACAAACACCGCGGTCCGCAGGCGCGTACGCAGGGGTTTCCCGTTGCCCGGAACCCCCCCCCCCAACCCCAATGTTCCAAACGAGCAATGTTTTTGGGCATTTTTGGTAGGGCGCACGATCGATCTGGTAAGAATGCAAAACTTCAACAGATCGCAACTCAGTCAAATCTCGCTCAAATCCAACGATCCAAATATCCAGGTCGAATAGAAAACTCTCAGCTGTCGGTTGAAATAATTTTCGACGCGCTGCGAGCAATGTCTCTTGAGATAAATCATTCGTAAGTTGAGCCGCGATCTCGCAATTTCAAAAGCTCGCAGTGCGACTGGAGTATCCAGAATTTGAGACTTTTCGTCGCGTTGATTTGCTCAATTTTGCAGGGGCTTCACTTGTGATATTTTCAAGAGAACACAGGCAAAAATCGAAACTCTGGGATCAAGAAAAACGAAATCGCTGGAGCAGGACGCGTTTGGGCCTTTGGGGCATTTTTTCGCACCGTCGCTGCACTCTACCGCTATAAATAGCCATATCGCTGGATATGTACATGACTGTACTGTGTCCTGGCTATCATGGTCGACCTCATTCTCTCCCTGGTACCTTTCCACTTCCAGGAAGTCCAAGATAATTTTTATTTTTTATTTATTTATTTCACTCAACTCGTGGTTCATGACCAATTGGCACGCGAAGTGCGAGAGAGGGGTTATAGCCAACCACGGCAAGAAAAGAAAAGAAAGGAATATAGAAAAAGAGAAGAAAGAAGGATAGACAAGAATACAGCAATGAGATCCTATCGTACTACATTATGCGATCGGAGTGCATTTTTAAAGCTGGAAAGACATTTTGATGTCTTAACATGCTGGGGAAGTTGCAGCCAAAGGCTGTAGGACAAAAACAGAGGAGAGTTGGTAAATGCGGCTGAATTAGCACGGGGAAGTGAGAGACTATTACGAGTGGACCGGGACAGAGAAAACCAATTGAATACGGAGAGATGAATGGGAATTTTACCTAGGCGAATTCTGTGGATCAAAACGCAAAGCTGCTGTTTGCGATTATCTTGCAGTGGCTGAGTATTGCTGATACAATAGAGCTCAAGACTAGGAAATAAACGCTGCTTGTTAAACAATATTTTAAGAAGAGAGTTATGTTGGATTTCAAGTTTGTTCACAAGATGTTGACTTAGACTACACCAAGACTGACATGCATACTGGAAAATAGGTAATAGATACGAGCGATAAAACATAGAACGGCATGTATTTGGCAAATGAGAACGATGAGGATATAGGATGCCGAGAACACTACTAGTTTTCTTGCAAATATAGTCTACATGAGGAGCCCATGTTAGACAGTCGTCAATAATTATACCAAGGTGCTTATGATCATGGACAATTTCTATGGTCGATGAGCTGCCAGGACATGATAAAGACACATTACAGAACTGATCACTAGCACCGCTACAGAAGAACATCACTTTGGTCTTACTAGTGTTCGGTCTCAGCTTCCAAGTCGACATCCAAGAAATGGTGGAGTTTATCTTTTTCTGGAGGTCATTGACTAGCAATTGCTTGCAACTACTTGAAGCGGAAACTGTGGTGTCATCGGCGAACAGTGAAACATTAGGGACAGACATCGGTAGATCATTGACGTAGACTAAAAAGAATAGTGGCCCCAGGATTGACCCCTGTGGAACACCAGAATTAATTGCCTGGGGAGACGAGAGGGTGTTGCCGACGCGTACAGCCTGTAACCTGTCAGTTAGGTAGCTTTCAAAGAAACAAAGCAGGTTGCCACCAATGCCATAGGCACCCAACTTGGCAATCAGGCCTCTATGCCAAACAGTGTCAAAGGCTTTCGCCAGGTCAAAGAAGCACATGCCAGTATGTTCTTTCAAATGTCGGGACTGCATGATGTTTTGGATTAGGTGGACTAGGTGCAGAGCTGTGGAGTCCCCTCGCCGGAAACCAGACTGCATGGTATGCAAGTACGGGGACAAGTGTCGATATAGCTGATCGTACACAATGCGCTCAAACAGCTTTGAAATACAGCACAGTAGGGAGATGGGTCTGTAGTTCGCTGCATCCGACCGGCAGCCTTTGCGCTTATAAATTGGGACCACTAATGCGTATTTCCATGCGGAGGGAAAGATTCCAGACGACAGAGAGATGTTAAAGAGCAGCGATAACGGATATGCTAGGCTGTCTTGGAGGTGTTTCAGGATTTCGTTTGGTATACCATCGTAACCAGGAGACTTCTTATTGGGGAGACTGCGTATGTATCTGGTTACAGTACGGGATGAAATCGTCAGCGATGTAAACGTTGACTCTACAGGTATTTGGTGGATAGGAGGAACTAACCATTCAGGTCTATCCTTAACGCAGAAGCTGGTAAACTGCTCATTCAGAGCATCCGCAATATCAAGAGGCGCAGTGGCGGAACTTTGGTCAGACCGTGTGATTGCTGTTGGACTAGAGCTCAATGACGATGCTGATTTACGAAGAGTTCTTATAAATGAGTGAAGTGATGGACGCTGGCTGTCGTTGAGAGAATTAGTAATGGACTGGATGTATTCTTTATGGGCTACACGTGATAACGTTTTTGCTATATTCCGCTGACGTTTGTACTGCGTTGCATTGGACGGGGTAGGGTATTTTTTATAGATGCTGTAGAGGTCATGCTTTCTCTTAATGCCTGCCCTGAGCACTGGTGTCATCCATGGTGGATCCTGGCGTAAAGGGCGGCTTCGGTTTCTGGTGGTTGACTGGTGATCGCGGTGAGAAGAGCAGACTGAGAGAGACGATTCGAGGAGGGACGAGAAGTTAGAAACGGCTGTATCAATATCAAGGCCGCATAAAAGGTCACTCCAGTGAGTTGCGGCAATTTCAGCATTGACGCCTTCCCATTGCGATTGAGTGAGCAAGTGATGGCTGAAGCGAGGCGGTGCAGTGTCAGATGTGGACTCTCGAGACTGTGCTATGTCTTTAGCTATGGAGAGCCTGCCGAGGACGATTAAGTGATCGGAGGCACCCAGGGGGCTCAGGGATTCAATGGATGTGAACCTCTCGGGAATGTTTGTGGCGACCAGGTCCAGGCAGCTACGGGGCCCATTGGATGTAAGATGGGTGGGGAACGTAACAAGTTGAGACAGTGCTATGGAGCGAAAAAGGTTACACAAGGCAGAGCCTGCAGCAGATGTTGAGTCGGAGGCACACCAGCTCTGGCAATGGGCATTAAAATCACCAGTTACAATGGTAGATGATGGAGCAGGTAGCTTAATGAGAGCAGTCCGCAGAGTGTCTACAAATATTGTAGGTCAGCAGCGTGCTGGTTAGGGGGTCTATACAAGCAGGCAAACGACAGTGGCTGGGATGAACCTATGGGAGTAGCTTCAACAGCAATTGCTTCAAAGTTCTGTTGGCGAAATGAGTGAATCTCTCTCACTTTGCTGAAGGCGGTAGTGAGCACCAGGATGGCAACACCCCCATAGCCTGTGAAGGGGTCAGGGTTAGAGGGAGTTTGCGGTCGGTCACGGCGGAATACTGCATAGTTCGGCAAGTGTAAGGTATGGTTGGTGGTGAGCCAAGTTTCGGTGATGCAGATAATGTCAGGCTTCTTGGCATTACAAAGGATGGAGAGTTCACCGAGTTTGTTGTTTATTGAGCGTGCATTTATCACCGCAACAGACACGTGGGAAGAAGATTGAGTAGAATGGTTAGAGGAGCTGGAGATAGGATAGAAGGGCTGTGCAAAAACATTTAGTGTAGAGTCCAGGCTCGAGGAAACGGTTGAAGTAGTTGGAGGGTGTGGGTTGAAGGGGAGAGCGTTGGGATTTAGGATGCATGTACTGCTCATTTACCTACACTGTCAGAGGAGAAGCGCCATTCGCGAACACGTACGGAGGCAGGCCAGAAGTCATCATATGGAGATTGAGTGAGTAGTGTAGTGTAATGAGTAGCATCATGACAGAACTCTATCCCTAGGCGTATCATTGTCTGTCTCCAGATTTCTCCTTCCTACTCCCTACACTCACTCGCATTGATCTAACGTGTGTACTGGTATAAGAACCGCAGCCTGCCTGCTGTACCATTGACTCATGCATTCATGTACCGCTGCACTTGCTGGCTGCGCATCACTAACCCTTCCCCTTCGATGGCACAGTCCCCGCACTGAATGCAGTACTCGGGGTGTGCGTGCGTATTCATGTCTGACTGCACTGCCCTCGGGCTCCATCTATACATGGCATCCCGTACTGGGCACGCTGCTTCCGGTCGCTGCTGTGTG